AATCCAACAATCAAACACGCAATAAACAAACAAAATGCAAGCATGCCTCAATCGCACGTTTCTTTGCTGGCAGACCTGTGTTTTCGTGCATCCATGGCACAGCTGTCACGGCTGCAGCGGACGCACCGGCAGCGACCGTGCGAAGCCTGGGTGGATTGAGTTGGCAGCACGGTGGAGGTGGCAATGGACATGGTAAGAGTATTGAACAGCAATATTACGAGGAAAAGCATTCGTAACCCCAGCGGCAGCGCAGGAAATCGCAGTCAAAAGGCACCCTTCGGAGTGGTAGTGGCAGTGGCAGAAGTCGTCGTCGTAGTTGTTGTTGTCGTCTTAGTAATTTAATAGTAGGAGGTGTGGTCGTAGTGTGGCAGCAGCAGTAGTGGCTGGAGTAGCAGTAACGATAACGGTGGGAGTGGGTGGCAGCGGCAGTGGCAGTAGCAGCACTCGTTATGATACTAAGAAATATTGTTGTTGCCGTCGCCGCACGGGTCACTGGTGACGATAGTAGTATTAGTCTCAGTCTACGTGTGTATCCCTAAACTGTTGATTATCATCACGATAGGTGAAGTAGCAGTTGCAGCAATAGCAAGGGCAACCATAACTGCAGCCACTTTGTGACAATCATCAATCATCGCAGGATGCTCCGGAAATTCAGAAACCTTGTTGCCCAAAGCCCCCGCCCCTTTGAGAATCTTATCATGCCAGCAGGAAAACTGCACGAAGCCCAAAAGCCACGTGCTGCCATCCCATGCGCACACTCTCATTTCGGGAGCTCCCCTTCTCAACGACTCTTTAGGGCTTGGGGCAACCCTAAACCCTAAACCCTAAACCCTTTTCCTTTCAAACTTGACCGTCCTGCAGAGCTCCGGGTGCCGGGCCCGCTTTTCGCTCCGTTTGCACCTGGTCCGAAAAGGGTTTAGGGTTTAGGGTTTAGGGTTTAGGGTTTAGGGGTTAGGGGTTTAGGGTTTAGGGTTTAGGGTTTAGGGTTTAGGGGTTAGGGGTTTAGGGTTTAGGGTTTAGGGTTTAGGGTGTCGGGCGTCGAGATTGCCACGAACCCAAAGCATTCAAGATGTCACGATAGGATGGGCGCGAGTATCTCGCATGGGTGCACATGGCCTGCAAGTGATGCTCTGCAGATTTTGTGGGAGAGTCTGGGGTTTAGGGTTCAGAGTTAAGGGGTGTGGAGTTTGGGGTTTAAATCAGCTCTGGAGCACATTTTCTCAAAAGTCCTTCGCCTGAAGCACATTAGCCAGACCTGAGCAAGACCTCAGAGGCACAAATGACAAGGGATCCTCAGGAATTTGGGCTGGCTCACCGGTTGGGGCTGGGCGTCCGGGAGTTCACGCCTTTTCTGTGCGACATGCTCACCGGTTTGGGGTTGAGGGTTCAGGGTTTAGGAGTTTAGGAGTTTAGAGTTTAGGGTCTGGCTTTGAGGGCTCAGGGTTTGTTCGTGAAAATAATAAACCTTCTTGGGTCATCCTGTTAGCATACCGTACCTTTTTGTCAACGAAGCACGTCCAAGGCTCAGATCTTTCTACAGCCTCCCAAAAGCCCTGACCCTGAACCCTAAACCCCAGGGTGGGGTCGGGTCTCGCGTTCGGGGCCCTCATGTACGAACAGGTCAAGCACAAGACCCCCTCAAAACCGAAACCCTGAGACCCGGAACCCTCCATCCCAAACCCTGAACCCTGAACCCTAACCCTGAACCGTGAACCCTGAACCCTAGACCCTGAACCCTAAACCCTGAACCCTAAACCCGAAACCTCAAACTCTAAACCTCAAACCCTACATTCCCTAGCGCAAACCCTAAACCCCAAGCCCGAAACCCCAAGCCCCAAACCTCAAACCCCAGAGTTCCTACAGTCAACCCTAAACCCCAAGCCCGAGACCGCCTCCTGATCCCGGATCTTTGGCCGGCGAGTCGGGCTCTTTGGCCTCCGCGAACCGACACGAAGAGTTCTGCTTGGAGGGTCATGGGACTTAGTAACTATAGTTATAGAAGTCCCATCATTGGGGCTACAAGTAATTATAAGTATAGCTACCCCAATAGTAACCGTAGCTACTAAGTCCCATGATCCTTTTAGTGGAGTTCTCGGCGCTTTGAACTCTAGGGCCTTGGGGCATTTGGGGGCTCAGGGTTTAGGGTTTTAGTGGGGACTCTAGGGTCTAGGGCTTTTGTGGGTCTGAAGAGTTTAGGGTTTTTTGGGAACTTTAGGGTTTAGGGCTTAAAGTTTAGGACTTAGGGTTTAGGGGTTGAGGGTTTGGGTTTATAAGGACTCCAGGGTTTAACGGAAAGAACACCGGAGCTGGAAGCCTTGAAGCCTAAGAAATCCTAAACCCTAAACCCAAACCGCCCCACAAAGCACCTACAACAACATTTAGATATACAAATACATATACATATACGAACATATGTATATATATATATAGAGAGAGAGAGATATGTATGTATATATGTAAGCAGACGGTACCGCTAAAGGAGCCGCTAAAAGCTCCAAAAGGACCCTTAAAGGAACCCTTATACATCCCTTACCGGAGCCCTTAAAGGAAAGGGACACTAAACCGGATTAAAGGAAGCACGCCTGCTCAACCAGCTTCCTCAGCTTCTCGCTGCAGGACGCCAGGACTACCTCGGGGGCTTAAGGACCTCGGGGGCTTTAGGGCTTTAGGGTGTAGCGTCCCTTTAAGGGTTTAGGGTCCCCTTTTGTCAGAGTAACAACTCTTACAGACTTGAAGCCCTTACCCCCTGACCACTCAGAAAGCCCCAAAGCCCTAAACCCGAAAAATCCCCCAGCATTTCTTATGGCCCCGAGCACCACATCTTCTGCAGCCGGACTGACACTGTCGAGATGCTCCCAAGACCGGGCCCTAACATCCAAACCCCGGATCGCTGGCTCAGGTAAATCAAAGGGGAAGAGGCGGGACCCTTAATGGGGACCCCTACCCTATCATGGGCTATATAATGGGTATATAATAATAGCTATACTAAGGGTATATGCCTAGGGGTCCTTATTAAGGGTCCCTCCTTTTACCCTTGGAATAAATAAGCCGACAAGTTTCATGGATACGTTTCGTGTTATTGCTAATGACTTCAAAACGTGGCGCCGCCATGGCTCCTCGTTTGACTTTCCGCTGATTTCCTGCTGGTAGTTTTCTTTCGACAGGAAGGTGGTTGTGCCCTTGGTGCGTCCCTATTCTATTTGTTGGTACTTCTAAAGCCTAAACTTAACCGTAAACCTGTACATAAGCTTTTCTGCTGCATTAGCTACACTAGCTGTACCCCAGAAGGACCAAAGTCACAAACAACAGGAAACAAAGAGAGAAAGAAAGGGGGAACCAATGCAATGGTCGGAATAGTAACCCACCCTTATTCATATGATCATGTGTTACTACAACATACTTAAAACCCCTTATGAAGCTCTTAAGGCCCATCTGTCATCCACAAAACCCGCAGTGACAGGCACTAAGCCAAACCGTCAGACACCAGTTATTACGCCCTAAACATCCCTTAGCAATAAACGGTTTAGGGTTTAGGGTTTAGGGTTAACCCTTAACATCCTAAGCCCAAAAAGCTCTGACCCAGGGCCGCGGGCCGCATGCACATCGAAGGAGGGGCCATCGGCACAGCGCAGCGACACATCGCAGAAGGCTCCATCCTTTCTGAAAGCCATCGGTTAGGATTTATGGCTTTGGGTTTAGGGTTTCCTGAATTCCTTTTCGGGTATAGAGTCACTGGTTGTCCGGTTTGAGATTTTGGGGTTTCGGGCTTCGGGGACTCACGGTTTTGGTGGTTTTCCTGGGCTCTTGCTAAGGGATAGTAAGGAAACCACATTACTTACTTGAGATCCCTGGGCTCTTGTTAAGGGGTTTCATGTAAGTTACCATGGTAAGGAAACATTATTTTTCACTATAGATCCCTACTATGATAACTTAAACTAAACCCCTAAACCCTAAACCCTAAACCCTTAACAAGAGCCCAGCTTAAGGTTCGCGAGGAGTTGTGCTTTAGGACTTTCGGCGAGAAAATGTAGCCAAGAGTTACAGAGTCAAGAAGCTGGCTAGGAGCAGGGCTGAATACAAGGCCTAAACAGTCTTAATAGGGTCCGATGGGGTTACGGAGTAGCATGGTCATGGCTTATAATATGCTATAATGGGCGTTTTCGGAAACATATGGGAGTTTCCGAAAACAGGGGACCCTAATATAGTAGCCTGAATAGTAGGATGATTACAACAAGGACCCCCACACCAGTTATAAGGGTACCCCTAATTTTCGGAAACTCCCATATTGGTAACGAGTCCGGCTTCTACATCAGCTAATCTCAAGCCGCAGGAGCCTCCCACCTCAAGGCTTAACATGCTGCTCCGATAGCATGAAAACTGCCCGCGCCTGCCCCTAGGCACAACATGTAGGATTTAGGGCTTCCTATAGGGGCCTTAACAATTAGAACAGGGTTTTGGGAACCATTATACTACAATGACAAAAAGGAACCCTCAAAATCTCTGGGCAATTATTAAGGCCCCTACAGTATAGGGTTTTGGGTTTAGGGTTTAGGGCTGTCCTGACTAACCTTTGGGACTCTGGAAGGATTATGGACATTGTAATACCCCAAAACGGTGAAAGGGTACCTGCCGGCTGCCTACTGTAAAAGCCAACTAAACCCCCCGAACCGCCGGTTTAGGGCCGTTTGGGATTAGGAATCATGGTCCTAGTCTATACCCAGTTCATGCACATCTTGAGGGCTCTGCTACCTCGACTCTGCCCCAGTGCTGTAGTAGTGATAGCCCCAAGTCAGAGTCTTTGCAACCGTCTCGCGACGGATGTTGTCCGAAAAGCCATTGGCCGACGCTTGGCACATCACACTACACAATGATGTGCCCTCACAGATTCTGCAAAGGCTCCCTTCAGGCCGAGCAGCACTGCGAGAACGAATTCTCCTATAGAGGCGTAACACACTACACAATGCTACGCCCCCGCAGCCCTCCGCTCACGCTCTGTCAGCTCAGCGCTTTGAGGACAGCGTCCGCGAGAGCCAATCCAGACCCTCGTAGAGACCGTCTCCCGTGGTGGCGCAGGCAGACTGGATGAACCTGGGCTCTTGTTAAGGGATTTCATTTAAGTTACCATGGTAAGGAAACATTATTATTTACTATAGACCTACTATGATAACTTAAACTAAACCCCTTGACAAGAGCCCGGGGAACCACTGACGATGGCGCAGGTTGTGAAGACCGAGCTTCTCGGTGACTTCCGCTGCCGTCATCGCATTCGGCAGGTCCTGCTTGTTGGCGAAGACCAACAGCACGGCATCACGCATCTCGTCTTCGTTCAACATTTTGTTGAGTTCCTCGCGCGCGTCTTCGATGCGGTCCCTGTCGTTGCTGTCAACCACGTAGATCAAGCCGTTCGTCCCCTGATAGTAGTGGCGCCACAGGGGGCGAATCTTGTCCTGACCGCCAACGTCCCACCTGGCTTGGCCAGGTCAATTGTCAAGGTCAGCTCTCAGCACCCACACAAAAAAAAAACATTAAAAATAAAAGACCAAAAAAAAAGGAAACCAAGGGCAACCTAGCCACACCGTGAAAGACAAGTTCTTGTACTCCACCGTCTCCACATTGAAGCCGATCGTGGGAATTGTGGTGACCACTTCGCCCAACTTCAGCTTGTAGAGAATGGTTGTCTTGCCAGCCGCATCTAAACCGACCATCAAAATCCGCATCTCCTGCTTCCCGATCAGGCGCTGCCATATCTTCGTGAAAGCGAGACCCATGGCTCAAGAGCTGCTCCCAAAGCGGAAACGACTGCTCGCCTAGAAATCTCGAGCCCCAGCCAGGATTCGCGGTCGAAGCACTAAACTCCAAACCTAATATAGGGGCCGAATACGGTCTTGTGCTACGTTGCAGTTCCAGTACAGTGTCCTGGGCCTGGCCTCTACCGCTTAACTAATACTATGTATAATACTAATAGCAGTCATAATAGCAGTAATAGTAATAATAGTCATCATAGTAATATTATGTGAGGTGCTCGATGACCGGTCCTTTCGCAGCACGTCGAGGCGCTCCCACTGACTCAGCTGTGTCGGCCTCGACTGAGACAGCACTACGGAGGTCGTTGGAGGGGGGTGGAGGGGGCAAGCCACCCCTACCGCAGCAACCTCCTGCAACAGCAAGGATTAGAAGGAGCGGCATCTGCAGCGCTTCGAGCCGCCACTGTCGTTGAAAGTGAAGATGATGATGATGATGATGATGATGATGATGATGATGACGGTGATGATGATGATTGTGATGATCATGATGATTGTGATAATGATGATGATGGTTGATGATGATGATGGTGATGATGATGATGATGATGATGTCCGTGCTTGCGAGTTCTACAGTTTCTCAGATTCAGAGGATCCGTTTTCCTCCATGCTTTTACTTTTAGAGGGTGCATGTCCTTCTTACTGGTCCGTGTGCGTGGCTAAATACTAGTACTAATCATAGTAAGCACAGGCAGTAGTAGCAGCGGTAGCAGGAGGAGGAGCAGCAGCAGCAGGAGTAGAAGTAGCAGCGGCACTGGATGCACATTGTTAGCAGCCGCAGCAGCAACTGCCCATAGCAACACTAGCACGAGATCAAGTAGTTGGAGCAGGAAGCTTCTTGCGACCAGGTTGGCAGCAGCAGCTCTTGTCTGTGTCTCTTCTTCTTCTTCGTCAGCGTGGCTTCTTCTTCTACTTGATAACAGACATCCTACTTCTACTGCCACTATCACTTCCACTGCATGTGTCAACGATTTGAAGCCGGAGCCCCAGTCTCCATGGATGCTGGACAGCTCTGCCCAGAAAAAAAGGAACCTCCGCGCCGACATGGGAGCGCAGCTTGAAGAGCTCCGCGCGACTAAGAACATCAGATCTAAGCCCTAAGCCCTGAAACATCAGATCTAAGCCCTAAGCCCTGAAACCTGTTCAATTAATCCACTTGAATAGTAAAAATAGCCACAATAGCAATACTAGCAATAATAATCATGAGTAATATCTCGATCCAACATGCATGCGCCTATCAGACACGGGCTTCTGCCTGTGCAAAATAGATTTCAGTGCTTCGGAATTTGTTTCAACTGCAGGGTTGAAGTGTCCAAGCCTAGAGTGACCAAACATTCTCGAAAAGGGCCCACAGTCACTTCAACTCCAACCGACTCTAGCCGAAGCCCTGGCCGGACACCCCGCCTTGTCGCCGCGATGCGCAGCTTGGGTGGCATGCTCTCAAGGCCATGGAGGCTCCATCACTGACTTCCGAGGGTTGAGGGTTTGGGGTTTAGGGCTTGCATAATCGTAAAAATAGTATTACTGGTAGAAGTAGTAATACTAACAATAGTAGTAATAATAGTAATAATAACAATAATCATAGTAGTGCTGATAATGATAATAATAATAATAATACGTAGTAATAATAGTAATAATAAAATGTTAATAATCGTAATAATAGTAACAATAATCGTAACAATAATAGTAACAATAATAGTAACCTTAAGGTTAATTTCTCAGGCTGAGAAGTTTACGTCTTTCTGCTTCCTCGGAGTGGTTCCCCTGTCCCGCTCATGGTCATGACCACAATACGGTCGCTGGGTTCGGGGCATGAGGGCTCTGGGGCCCGTGTTCCTTGGAACTTACTTTTCTGGGGTCCATGAAAGAAACTTCGGGCGTTATCGGAACCGTGCTCCTTCATGCCTCAGCTGACTTACTCATAGACTTTACTCGATACCGCCGCGGGTCCGTCGAAGTAAGCTGCGGGTGAAGGCGAGCGTATACCGGGCGGAATGTCACGACGCAGAGCAGCAGGGAGAGGCCATGGTTTCAAAGAAGGCACGACATCGCTCGGAAGGACTTCACAGAGCTTCAACCCTGAGACCCTCCCACAGAAACCTGGAAAGGCGCAGCAAGCCTTGCAGAAGTAGCGTGAAACTCGGCTGCTCCGCTCCTCTTCGGCCCGAATCTTTCGCATCGACGACATCGGCCTGGGGGACGGACGGGACTTCATGTCTCCGGCCAGGGACCATAATAGGGATCTATAGTAAATAATAGGGTTTCCTTATTATGGTAACTTAAGATACATATTCCGTAAAAGGAACCAGATTACCAGTTTCGGTTCGGGGGGCAGCGCGAGCCTTCAAACCCGAAACCCAAAAACCCTAAACCCTGGACCCGAAACCCAAAAACATTGAACTTCTAGGCCCTTAAACCCGGCCAGCATCGGCACCTCATGAGATCCAAATCCGCTTGGACAGTTTGAACATTAGGGTTAAAAGGGCTGTGGGCATTCAATCACGGTGGCCTGAATACTTTGCGCAAGGGCTCTCTTGAACCCTTGAGAACCCCTTAAATTTACAGGGGCTTGGGGAGTTGGATGCCAGAACCCTAAACCCTAAACCCTACTTTAGAACCCCTGCCTGGGATTACCCAGAGACTCCAATATCCCTTGATTAAGGAATCTACCTCAAATTATAGTAGGATCCCCAATATGATTGAAGGTATATTCCTGAATTCAGGGATATGGGAGTTTCCGAAAATAGGGGACCCTAATATAGTACCCCCAAAATAGTAGGATCCTTCTTACAGGGTACCCAAAACCTTAAAGGAACCCTGATAGTACCCTTATAGTACCCTTTAAAGGAACCCGTAGGGCCCCCGGGCTCTGGCAGTGCCTCTGTCTCGGCCAGCTTCTGGGGCTCGCCTGGCAATGGGGGGAACGGCGGGGAACTATGAGGGTTCCTTTAAAGGGATCCATAGGGGTACCTTAGGGTTCCTTTAAAGGGTTACTATAAGGGTACTATAGGGAAGGGGGGCATCTGGGGTTTGGGGTTTAGGGTTCTTATTTTTTTTTTGTTGAGCTCCTGGGGTTTAGGGGGCTTTGGTTTAGGGTTTAGGGTTTGGGGTTGGGGTTGGGGTTTGGGGTTTAGGGTACTTTTTTGTTGAGCTGCTGGGGCTTAGGGCTTGGGGGTTTAGGGTTTAGGGTTTGGAGTTAGGGTTTAGGGTTTGGGTTCAAGGTTTAAGGTTTGAGGCTTAGGATTAGAGAGGCCTTTCAAGCGGGTCGGTTTTGCGTTGGGAGTTTAGGGTTTACGGCGTGGTTGCGTCATAGGTACTCGCTGGTGTATGGGGCACACTGGGCACACCCAGGCCGCTCGCATCGTGCGTAGCAAGCGACCCACCCCAAGAGCACCGTAAGTTGAAGCATTGTAGGGTCGATTTGTGTCATTCAAGGGGACGTCGGCATCACCAACGGTAGCAGTGGCCGTCGATGCACAACGGTCGTGTCGGATGAAGCGACAACAATGCTAGGTTTCTGTGAAAGACCATGCACAAAATTGACACTAATCTTCCAAGGCGCTCTGTCGATATGTTGTCGAAGCATGTGTGACAAAAAGACATAAATGTCGTTAAACACTTGTGCACGTGGGTTTGTGTAAGCTCTCTTGTTGGATACCTGGCATGACCGTATATGGGGCGAACGCAGGGGACCACACAAACACTTTCGAATGATCGAAAAAGGCATGCATTGCTGGGCTTTCTGCGAAGCTGTCTAGAAGCAGGCATGACAATCAGAAGCAGGAAGCGGTGCATGTAAGTATTCTGAGGCTGCCTTGTTGGTATCCGATCGGCATTGTCCTATGTTGGGCACATCCAAAGGATCACGCAATGGTTGAACTGCACTACACTGTGGGCTTTCTTTCTCTGAAGCAGTTCTGGCGGCATGACACGGAGCAAGCAAGCAGTGGTGCATAAAGTGGTATTTTGGTGAAGCTGTCTTGGCAGCTGCCAGTGGGCATTTGTCCCTTTGAGCGCCTTCTCAACCTCAGATGGTGCGGGTTCGGGCCTCGTCCTTTTCGGGAGCCCGGAGGTGACAGCAAAATCTCGAGGTTCGGGCGTACAGTAAACCCCATAAAGTTGGAAACCGGATTAAGGCCAAATGGAGCTGGGATTCCCTTTAAATTACTCTTAAGGATTGAGGCTATTGGGTTTCCAACTTTTGGGGCTTCTACTGTATCAGGAGCCGGCAGGTATGATCCCCGTCGCCAAGCTCCAATACGGAGAGGCCTTAATAACTCGAATCGGGTTTTGGGGTATTAGTATACTGTAACAATGATATAGGCCCATATACTCTAGAATCCCCAATCTAGATCCCTTATAGACCCCTTTAAGGATCCCTTTAAAGGGAACCCTAGGTAATATTTACGCCCCTATAGTATTCCGGGCTCCGCGTAGACTTTGTTTGCCACTCGCAAAACTCGGGTGTCGAGCCCTCATCGAAAACTTTAGGATTTAGGGCTTGTAGAGTTTAGGGTTTAGGGTTTAGGGTGTGTGGGGTTTAGGGCTCACGGCTAACGTAGGGCTCATAGGGTGTATAGGGTTTAGGGTTTGTGCAGTAGAGTTTAAGGTTTGGGCGGGCTTTGGGGCTTTCAGGTGCAATTCCTGGGGGCTTACGGGTCAATCTCGGACAACCTTCAGTTTTCCTTTAGAGGGATCCATAGGGGGCCCTAAGGGTTCCTTTAAAGGGTTACTATAAGGGTACTATCAGGGTTCCTTTAATAGTGTGAGGTCAACGGGCATGACATGATTCGTTTGACAACGAAATTCTCACACAAAGGCCATGAATCCCTGGCTGAAGCGGAGGTGTTTTCCAACTGCTTCCGCTTCGGTGGCGTTAAGTCTGCGCTTCGATCTTACAGATCGAAGTAGTCGATCTTACAGATCGGTGTTGATCTTTCCTTCCGCTGGGAGGACCGACTGGTTCC